AGGTCACAATGAGTTTTTTTTTTTTTTTAATTAATTTATTTATTTGAAAGCATTACACACAGAGAGAAGGAGAGGCAGAGAGAGAGAGCGAGAGTGAGAGAGAGAGAGAGGGAGAGAGGCCTTCTATCTGCTGGTTCATGCTCCAGAAGGCCACACTGGCTGGAGCTGCACCGATCTGAAGCCAGGATCCAGGAGCTTCTTCCGGGTCTCCCATGCAGGCGCAGGAGCCCAAGGACTTGGGCCATCGTCTACTGCTTTCCCAGGCCATAGCAGAGAGCTGGATCGGAAGTGGAGCAGCTGGGTCTCAAACCAGCACCCATATGGGACGCCGGCACTTCAGGCCAGGGCGTTAACCCACTGTGCCACAGCACTGACCCCTGTCCTCAGTATTTTACAACTTCATTTTATTCTTTTGTACAGTATATAATCATTAACCTGACCAATCCCCCATCAATGTGCATTATGTTAGTTTTAATCTTTTGCAATTAAAAACGATGTTGAAATGACTAACCCTATACGTGTCATTTCACATAGTTGTACTTTTTTTTTTTTTTTTTTTGACAGGCAGAGTGGACAGTGAGAGAGAGAGACAGAGAGAAAGGTCTTCCTTTGCCGTTGGTTCACCCTCCAATGGCCGCTGCGGCCGGCGCGCTGCGGCCGGCGCACCGCGCTGATCCGATGGCAGGAGCCAGGATCCAGGTGCTTTTCCTGGTCTCCCATGGGGTGCAGGGCCCAAGCACCTGGGCCATCCTCCACTGCACTCCCTGGCCACAGCAGAGAGCTGGCCTGGAAGAGGGGCAACCAGGACAGAATCCGGAGCCCCGACCAGGACTAGAACCTGGTGTGCCGGCGCCGCTAGGCGGAGGATTAGCCTAGTGAGCCGCGGCGCCGGCCATAGTTGTACTTTTTATAGAAATTTATGAACTATCCTGCATAGACACTGTGTATCTTTTTAAAGATTTATTTACTTACTTGACAGGATGACAGAGAGAGCTGGGAGGAGACAAAGAGGTCTTCCATCCATTGCTTCATTCCCCACATGGCTGCAACTACTGACGCTGGTCGAGGCCAGTGCTGGGAACCTGGAGCTCCGTCTGGGACCTCCCACATGGGAGGCAGGAGCCCCAGTGCTTTGGCATCTCCCACTGGAAGTGGAAGCAGCTGGGGCTCAAACTGGCGCCCATATGGGATGTGGTGTCCCAAGTGGCCAACTAGCCTGCTGTCCTCCAATGCTGGCCCCTATTCAGAGATTCATGTTTTCAACTTTCTGAAAAGTTTAAACACACATAATGCATCTCCACAAGCAGATAACCACTGATCATGGCAAATACTGGATTTGGTGACGCAATCGTCAAAATTGGGATTTTTATATTTTCCCGCTGAATCATGGGATTATAGGGTGGAGAACAAATTAAAGAATCATTCCTCCTCACTTCCTTAGAAAATTAAATAAATGAAATTAGCTAAGAGTTCACAGTTGAGGTCCGCACTGTAGCAGAGCAGAGTAAGCAGCTGCTCGCTACGCTGGCATCCAGGCAACCCATGTCAGAGTCCCAGTTCCAGCCCCTGCGGCCCCGCTTACGATGTAGCTTCCTGCTCATGTACCTGGGAAGATCTCTTTCTGACTCTCCCTCTCTCACTGATGTTCTTCAAATAAGTAAATGAATAAATCTTAAAAAAAAAAAAAAAAAAAAGAGAGAGAGAGAGAGAGAGAAATAAATAACTTAAAGAATAAATCTTTAAAAAAGAAAAGACAGAGAGTTCACAGCATAGTTAGGAGAGCCAAGATTATACGCCAGGTTTTCTATGATCACATAATGAATAATAATAAATAAATAACAAATAAATGAATAAATCTTTAAGAGAGAGAGAGAGAGAGACAGTGTTCACAGTGTAGTAAGGAGAGCCAAGATTATACTCTAGGTTTTCTGGCTTTTCTTCAGTATAACATACTACAACACGCCCCTGCACCCATGTGAGAGACCCGGAGGAAACTCCTGGCTCTTGGTTTCGGACTGGCACAGCCAGTTACTTGAAAGACAGAGTAACAGAGACAGAGAGGGAGAGACATAGAGGGCAAGAGAGAGGGAAAGAGATCCTCTGTCTACTAGTTGACTCCCCAAATGGCCGCAGCAGCCAGTCTGGACCAGGCCAAAGCCAGGCTCCTGGGACTCCATCAGGTGTTCCATCAGGAGCTCCCAGGTGCATCAGCAGGGAGCTGGATGGGAAGTAGAGCAGCCAGACTTGAGGTGCTCATATGGGATGCTGGCGTCATGGGCACGGACTTAACCTACTGTGCCACAGTGCTGGCCCATAGAATGGTTTTAGATTTACAAAAAAAATGTGAAACTAGTACAGAGTTTTGATATATATACCCAATTCCCCCTGTTATAAACACCTTATTCTAGATTGGTATGTTTGTTATAATGAACAAGCCAATGTTGAGATGTGATTTTGAACTAAATCCCATACTTTGTTCAGATTTCATTAGTTTTTGCCTGATGTCCTTTTCCTGTTGTGGGAGTCCGTCCAGGACACATGACATCAAATCATCATACTCCTCAGGTTTCTCTCGGCTGTGACAATTTCTCAGACTTTGTTTTTGATGACCTTGACTTTTTTTCTTTTTTTAAGATTTATTTATTTATTTGAAAGGGAGAGTGACAGAGAGGTTGGGAGGTGAGAGAGGGGCTCTCCCATGTACTGGTTCACTCCCCAAATGGCTGCAACAGCCAGGCCTGGGCCAGGCCAAAGCCAAGGAATTCTCCCACAGGGGTAGCAGGGGTCTATGTACTAGCACCATCTTCCACTGCTTTCCCAGAAGCATTAGCAGGAAGCAGGATCAGAAGCAGAGCAGCGGGGACTCAATATGATAAGCCAGCATTGCAAGTGGCAGCTTAACCTGCTGTGCCACAAAGCCAGCCCCACCTTGACAGTTTTGAGTGGTACTGAGCAGGTACTTTGTAAAATGCCCCTCTATTTGGATGGATCTGTTCCTTTTGTAGTCATAGTTTTATTTTTTTTGTAGCATAGCCTCATGTTCATCATCATGTTTATATATTCTTTTCATGTCGCATTATCTTTTTCTCATAATTTATGGAGTTGTCCTAAACATAATTTTAAAATTATTTTATGTATTTATTTTAAAGTCAGAGCAATAGAGACAAGGAAAGATGGAGAGGGAGAGAGAGAGAGAGAGGTCTTCCATCTGCTGCTCCACTCCCCAGCTGGCCACAATGGCTGTGGTTGGGTCAGGCCAAAGCCAGGAGCCAGGAATTCTATCCAGGGCCCAAGTACCTGGGGCATCATCTTCTGCTTCCCTAGGCATATCAGCAGGGAACTGGATCAGAAGTGGAGTGGCAGCGGGGCGGCCAGTGGGAGAGGAAATGGGTGGATGCTGACATCAGCCCACTGTGCCACAACTCCAGTCCCCTCCTTATTTAAAAGTTGTGTGGGGGCTGGCACTGTGGCATGGTGGGTAAAGCCGCTGCCTGCAGTGCTGACATCCCATATGGGTACTGGTTTGAGTCCTGGATGCTCTACTTCATATCCAGCTCTCTGTTATGGCCTGGGAAAGCAGTAGAAGATGTCCCAAGTCCTTGGGCCCCTGCACCTGCATGGGAGACCCAGAAGAAGCTCCTAACAATAGTAGAACATGGGCAGAGGCGGAGAGGGAGCAGAGCAAGTGGGACCAGACTCAGGCTTAAGGGCTCTCTTAAGAGGTCACACACAATTAACTTCCTAGGGCACGCTCCCAAGTCCTAAGGGGCTCTCACTAGGCCCCGCCTCCTAAAGCTTGCACCGCCTCCCAACCCAGGGTGTGTGTGTGTGTGTGTGTGTGTGTGTGTGTGTGAAGTCTAACAGGCAGGCCTTTGTAGGACGCTCAACATTCAAACTATATCCAAACTGTTGCATAGTGGTTTTCGCCTCTGTAAATAATGTTTACAGAAGTGTCATGGAAAACACGAATAGACTGTTGAGCAGAGACATAAAAGTTGTATCTAGAACATATCCAAGGGAGGAGCAGACATTTAACCTGGCAGTTACGATGCCCACTGGGACACCTGCAGCCCCTATTTTAGTGCCTGGTTTGAGTCCCAGCTACTTTACTTCTGTTCCAGCTTCCTGCTAATGGGCACCCTGGGAGGAAGCTGATGGTGACCCAAGTGCCTGGGTCTCTGCCACCCCCTTGGGTGACCCAGATTAAGTTCCTGGCTCCTGGCTTCAGCCTAGCCCTGCCTTGGCTGTTGCAGGCATTTGGGGAGTGAACCAGCAGACGGACGATCTATGTCTCTGTCTCTCTTCCTTTTGAATAAAGTATAAACAAAAAAATTTTTTGTTAACTAGCTGTAGAGTGGTAAGTTAGCCTAGATTAGGGGAAAACAGGCACAGACACAGAAATGGAGGCTGAGCGCCTCAGCACGCGCAGGCCTGGCCTCCACATTCCCCCACTCCCATCACGCCCCCACACTTGTGTTGTCCGGATTACTTGGTTTTCCTGCAGTGCTACCCTTTCTGATTGGGCCAGGATCACCCCCTTCTGCACCCTGCACTCCTGCTAGGTCCAGACCCCCTCATGGTCCCGGGGCCGTGAACGCTTCCTGCTCAGGCCTCCCCTGGTGCTCCCAGGACACTGTACAGAACCCAGCAAGGTGGACTGCAGGTCTCTGGGCAGCTTCAGGGCAGTGACTTCACTGTGTTCAGCTCTCTTTCCCCAGCACCTAACATGAGCCTCATCCCACAGTTTAAATAAGCGCTGACAAAGAAGGAAAAGAAGAGCTAAGGGAGGGTCCCAGGATCACCAGAAGGGAGGCAGTCCCAAGGGTGTGAGTTAGGAGAGTGGACTTTATTTCCTTCCTGTGCGCATCTGCCCACGGTCAGGGTCAGTGGACTGAGTGCCCACCAGAGGGTCAGTGGATTTGTCACGGGGTGGGGGAAGGCCACGGAAGCAAAGGCCACGGTTCTTCACGCAAGAAAGAATTCAGGCATGAGACAGAGAGCAGAGTGATAAGGTTTATTGGGGACAGGGCATCTGTCAAAATGGAGGGGACAGACAGAGAGCGCTCAGGGGAAGAGCAAGGTCACATGGTTGAATGAAGAGAATACACCTGGGCAGGCCAGGCGGGCGGCTAGGCAGAGAGGCAGAGGGCTGAGTGCGTGGTCAGTTTGGACTCCCTAGGTTTTTAAGGGAGTCTGTTTACCCACCTCCCTTTCTCCTCCAGGACAAAGAAGGGGGAGCCCTGGTGGAAGGGTTTGTTGAGTGAAAATTTGCAAATTCCTCCCCAGGTTTGCTGGCAAGGGGACTCTGTGAAGGTTTTATGCCCTGTGTTATCAGATCAGGTAACCCCTTTGGTCCTGAGGAGAGAGAATTCTCCTGGGAGTTTGCCTTGAGGGAAGGGCTGGGACCACCTGGGAGGTTAGCAGGGTCTGGGCAGGACTCTGAAGTGCAAGATGCTGGGTTTCTGGGGCTTCTGCAATGGGTGCTGGTCTTCAGGCCTGTCTCACACACACACACATAGGCTCAATTTCCAGCTTCCTGCCTAACAGATTGGGGAGTGGGAAAACAGTGGAGAGGCAGAGCAGACAGGTATACCAGTGCCATGTTTACGTTTACAGGTAGATTACACACAAACTGCTTATTTACACGTCAGAACTGGCACAGGCAGCTCCGGGGTTCCTGGAGCAAAGGCCTTGCTGAACACCGAAGTGGCAGGCACCCGGCTGTGGGCTGCCGGGGAGGAGAGCAGGGGCAGGGGCAGAAGCAGGGGGCCAGTCTTCTGGGTGGCTGTGTGGACGGCCCTCTGGGCAGGGCTGGGCCTCCTGAGGATGAACCAGGGCCACCAGGCGCTGCTGGACACACTCGGCCGTCAGCCGCGCTTCCGGGTCTGCGTCCCAGCAGTCTTCCAGCAGCTCCCTGAGCCCGCCGGGGTCCTGGGGGAGCGAGCAGGAGGCAGGCTTGACCCCGGGAGCTTGAGTGGCTCCAAGGCTACAGGCATTTTCAGTGCCGCTGCTGTTTCTCCCTGGAGCCTCCCTCCTCTCCCTCTCGCGGAGACAGCTGCCTGAGAGCCTTCCAGAGGGTCCACTTTTCCTCCAAAAGAGCTAATTTGCATAGATAGCTCAACTTGCTAATAGCAAATCCACCCTCCTTCCCCTCCAGCAACCAGGGTCTTTTACAACCACTGTCTGGCTTCTGTCATCTAACCGGACAGACCAGGTAGCAGAGGGGCAGCCTGTTTAGGATGTTATCTGCAGGCCCTTTGCCCCTAGAACTGGCTTTTACTGCGTCCCCCTCGCAGCAGAAACAGATATACAGGCCAGAGCGAGGAGCAAACTTCACTGAATCCTGGGCTCCCGTGTGCTAGGAGAGCCAGCACCTTGGGGCAGAGAGCCAGGGAGGGGGCACCTTGGGACAGGAACAGAGGCAGGGAGAGCTTCCTGGAGGGGAGGATTGAGGAGCAGGGCTAACTGGTGGCAGTGAGGAGGGAGAGACTGCACAAGGCTGGGCGGGACAATGTCATGGGTCTCTGGTGCAGGGAGCAGGCTGTGTTAGGGTAGAAGAGCAAGTTTGCCCAGTTCCAGCTGAATGCGAACTAGGAAGTGGGGCATATGGGAGGAGATAGGAGCAGATGAACTTGGCCCTGACAGGGGCGTCCTTGAAGCTCACGCCCAGCCCCCCCTGCTCCAGATCCCTAGGCCACCCGCCTGTGACCTCTTACTGTGGCAAAGCAGCACCAGGAGGATGGGATGTCAGGGCGCCTCCTCTCCTCTACTGCCAGGGCCCACAGCTCACAGGTGGTGGGGGCGCTGCCCAGTTCTGCTTCATAGGCCAGTTGGAAGGGTGGTGGTCTGCCGTCTGGGGGAAGGTGGCAGGGAGGGGGGTCAGTTTCCCTTCCGTGTAGAAAAGCCAGGGAGAAAAAGGTCATAGCTTTCTGAGAACAAGGTCAGGACGTGGTTGGCCCCTAAAATGGGTCAAAGGGGAACCAGGGGAGGGGTCCAACCCCCCCGCCCCATCCATACCAGGCCTCAAATCCGGGCAGCGGCTCAGGATCTCCCACAGGAGCAGGGCCAAGGAGTAGACGTCGGCTCGCCGGAGGGCAGTGCCCCAGTCCTGTAGGTCCAGAGACTTGTCCAAGAGCTCTGGCGCCATGTACCTCTGTGTGCCGGCCTGAAGAAGGCGGTGTGGAGGGCCAGGAATCACCTCTGCCGGGCCCCTCACTGCTGCACTGAACCTCCCCCGCACCCAGCTCCAGACTCAGCAAACATCCTGCACATTGTAAATCCTGCTGCTCTATCCCAAAGACTCCATCCGGCACCCTGGGCCTCACCCTTACCCAGGGCACTCACCTCCATGATGGCCGCTGGGCCTCGGGGCTGCGGAGGGGCCCAGGCACGGGGCTGAGCGAAACCAGGGAGCACCAAGGCCAGGCCCAGGTCTCCAATGGCACATGACCCATCTTCCCGGATGAGCACATTCTGGCTGCTCAGATCTCGGTGGGCAATACCAGGCTTGTACTGGCCTGTGAGGAAACCCGAGGTTCAAGGTCACAGATCTCTTTCTCTTGTAACCCAGTGGGTCTCCTCCAAGCTAAGGAAGCATCGGAAACCTAACAGTGTGGCTGCTTCCCTGCTCCCAGCTCACCTACCATCCTGCCAGCGCTCCTCATGGAGAAATGCCAGGCCCTGGGCTAAAGACAGAGCCATCCTCAGGGAACTTCCCCAGTCACTGGTGTGCTGGCTCAGGTACTGGCACAGGGAGCCCTGGAGTGGAGGGGGAGGAAGCAGAGGGCAGGATGGGACACACACAGCTCCATCCTAGAGAACAGACATCAGTTCACTCCACCACCACCCCCCCTTGCATCTCCCCAGCAGACACCGGGACACATCCAGACCAAGACACAGGCAGCGGAGGGGGAGTGAGAGTGAGCCTCAGACTAATGTGACAAGCAGCAAGTGTGGGTCAGGTGTTCCGAGCATTCCCTGTGGCTTAGGTGGGTGCTCCTAGGGCCTCCACGTGACGGATGAGATTTACAGAGAGTGAAACTGACTTCTCTGAGGTCTGTTAGTGAGAACGTGGACCTTGAATCCAAGCTGACTCACGCATCGCTCACTGTCCACCACCACCCTACCCTGACTCAGAGGACAAAGACGGAAACAGAGGAGGCTGGATGAGCTGTGCAAGGCCATTGCTCGTGACCCGGCTGGCCTGAGGCAGCCAGAGCCCATGGGAAGGGTGAGAGAAGAGCAAATTGCAATAGCAGGGAGAGAGTTCCTCATTCCACGAACGGCAAACACTTCCTGCGTCCAGCAGTTTGCTCAGACACTGGGATGCCCAGGGTCCGGTGAGAGATAACAGTCCCATAAAGTATAGAGTGTGCAATAAACCCCAGGATAGGAACCCGCACTCAGTGTTAAGGGCATAGAATAAGAATGACTAACACTGCAGGGTGGGGTGGGGGACAGAGAGAGAAGCTTAAACAAACAATGCTTTTTGGGCTGGGCCAGTAGCCATGAGGTCGAAGAGAGGGGGCTTTCCAGAATTTAAGATTCCAGGGGTGGAGGAGCTGATCGAGGGCAGCATGTGGGCACCGAAACTTAAACCGGAAAGGCGGGGCTACAGTGGAAACGTGGGAAGAAACAGGCAGCCCAGACGGAGCGGTAAACAGGAGAGAAGTAGCACAGATAAGAGGGGAGCCCTCTGGTCACCCGGATACCAGGCAAACACTCTCCTTTCCTGGGCCCGGGTGGATCATAACTCCTACTTTATAGCGCATTTGTGGAGGTTAAGTTTGAAAGCACGCCTCGGAGCCAGCAGGTTAAGCTGCCCCTGCGATGCCAGCATCCCATATCAGAGCGCCAGTTGGAATCCCGGTTGCTCCACTCCGCTCCAGCTCCCTGCCGATGTGCCTGGGAAAACAGCAGATGACCCAGAAGCTCCTGGCTCCTGGCTTTGGCCTGACCACCCAGCCCTAGCCACTGTGGCCATTTAGGGGGTGATTTAGCAGATGGAAGACCTCTTTCTCTCTGTCTCTCCCTCCGTGTCACTCTGCCTTTCAAATAAATAAAATAAATCCTCAAAAAATGTGTTGAAACTTCCTATGCAATGCATAGTGCAAAGTAGATGGGGAAAAGGCATGGACTCCAGGAAGAGCTTCAGACCTTGAGCTGGTCTTCCGCCTTTGCTGCTCTGGATCTCCCCCTCGTATTTTCTCTTACAGGATCATGGCCCTCTCTTTTAGCACTTAGAACACACAACATTCCTCTCTTATTTTTCTTCACTCGATCCATTTCTACCTCTGCTTCCAACTAGAAAATCTGTAAAGGCAGTGACTGTTCTTCTTGGTATCGAGTGCTCGCCCTATAGTTTGTAAGTATTTGTTGTTGAGTGAAGACATGAGCAAATTTGGAGGGCAATGCTTGGAGGCATTTCTGCCTTTTTTTTTTTTATTTAAAGATTTGTTTTATTTGTTTGAAAACAGAGTTACAGAGAGAGGTAGAGACAGAGAGAGAGAGAGAGGTCTTCCATTCACTGGTTCACTCCCCAAACGGCCGCAACAGCTGGAGCTTGAGTGGATCTGAAGCCAGGAGCCAGGAGCCTTCCCCGGGTCTCCCACATGGGCGAAGGGGTCCAAAGACTTGCGCCATCCTCCACCGCTTTCCCAGGTGCACCAGCAATGAGCTGGATCGGAAGTGGAGCAGCCGGGACTACAACTGGCATTCATATGGGATGCTGGTGCTGTACTCAGTGCTGGCCACAGCATTATTTATTTTGTATTTATTTGAAAGCCAGAGGAACACACAGAGAGATTTTTCCATCAGCTTGATTCACTTTCCTCCAAATACCCACAACAGCCAGGGTTGGCCCAGGCCGAAGACAGGAGCCAGGAACGCCATCCAGGTCTCCTACATGGGTAACAGGGACCCAAAGTACTTGAGTCATCAGTATCTCCCAGGGTGCACATTCGCAGGAAGCTGGAATCAGAAGTGGAGCTGGACTCAAACCCAGACATTCTGACAAGGGATGCAGGCGTTCCAAGGGCTGCCTTGGAGGTATTTCTTTAACAATGATTTTCTTCTTTAAAGTTGGGAATGTTTTAATTTCTGCCTTGCTGTATCTAATATATGGACTAAAAATATTAACATGTATAATTTGTGTAATAAAAAAGAAAAATCACCTTTAGCGTTTTAGAGAAAATATGAAGCAAAAGATGAAGTGTGGCTAGGGTCTAGCTTCCGTGCAACCCCTAACCCCGTATAAACACACAGGCGGGGCCAGCACTGTGGGCGTAGCCGGAAAAGCCGCTGCCTGCAGTGCCAGCATACTATATGGGCGCCAGTTCTAGTCCCGGCTGCTCCACTTCCCATCCAGCTCTCTGCTATGCCTGAGAAAGCAGTGGAGGATGGCCCAAGTCCATGGGCCCCTGCACCCATGTGGAGACCTGGAAGAAGCTCCTGGCTCCAGATCAGCCCAGCTCCAGCCGTTGCAGCCATTTGGGGAGTGAAGCAGCAGATGGGAAGACCTCTCTCTCTGCCTCTCCTCTCTGTGTGTGTAATTCTGACTTTCAAAAAACTAACCAAAACAAAAAACACATAGGCACACATTCCTTGGTGCTTACCTTGGGGTGCAGTTCCAGTACCAGCAGGGGCCCAGAGGGCAGGGGGCCGGGTCCCCCCTGGCCAGCAGCGATAAATCGGACAACGTGGTTGTGCTGCAGGCCCGGCAGCTCATACAAGGCTCTCTCAGCTCGGAACTGGGCCACGGCCCTCCGGGGGAAGACCTTGATGGCCACCAGCTCCCCTTGCAGCTGCCCAGCCCACACTGCCGCGTGACCTCCTTCCCGGATGACCTGGTGGGGAACCTGTGCTGGGTGTGGACCTCTGAGCTAGAACCAGGGCCAGGCTTCCTCCCCAGCACGACCTCCAGGAGGACCCAGAAGAACCCAGCCCTGCCTCCCTCCCTGGGGCACCTGGGAGAAGCACAGCTGGGGCAGCTCCGGCAGCTCCTCACTGCAGTCCCTGCCTGAGTCTGGCTCTGGCTCTGGCCCACTCTGCACCCTGTAGGCCTTTCGCTGGAGCAGAGCTGGGGCAGAGAAGAGCCGTGGGGTCAAGGGTACACGGGCACAGAGACCGGGAAGGGGCTTTTGTGGGGCGGGAGTTTTGGTGAGAGGTCAGGGGTCGGGGTGAGAGGTGCCTGGAGAGGGATTGGAACTTTGGGGCGGGGGGTGGGGCAGAGCAGTACCCACGACAATACCGCCCAGCAGCAGCAGCAGCAGCAGGACCAGCCCCAGCAGCGCCAGTGCCATCCAGGGGGACTCACCTGCACATGAAGGCAAGAACCAGCCTGCAAGCCCTGCCCCAAACCCTGCGGTCGGCTCTTCTTCCCCTCCTCACCGAGCTTGCTTCTCAACCCACCCCCACCTTGGTCGCCAGCCCCCTTATCTCCCGTCACCAGGGCAACCAACTTCCCAAGGCCAGGAGGAGGAAAGCTTGGGGCAGGGAGGTAGGGTGAGAACTGGCCCTGTTTCTGCCTCTCATGCTAACCTAGGCCCCAACCCCCACGGGGTTCCAGTACCCCTGGGTTGTAGCTACCTGGGGCAGCCTGGGGACCCTGGGGGCCAGGAGTCCCAGGGCCCCCCAGAGGAGGCAGATGGCTGTAGTTGGCATTGCAGAAGTCAGCACCACAGGAGCAGGTGAAGAGAGTGGAGCCAGAGCTGGCGCGGGCTCGGGGGCTCGGGTCACAGCTAAGGGACTCACAGCCTGGCTCGTCACTGTCTCGGCATCCTGACGGGTTGGGATTCGGGGAAGAGGAGAGAGAGAAGGAGTGGGGGAGAGAACACAGCGGGGTCTGGGATAAATCCCTTCTCTATCAAAGGCGTCCCTTCCCACTCACGTGGGCTTTTCTTTCCCTCCACACATTCCATTTCCCCCTTCCTCCTCAGCGCCGCCCGCCCCCACCCTAGCTATCACCTGCCATTCACCTTGCATCTCCACCTGTGCCTGGTCTCGGGTTAGGTTCCAGATCCCAAAGCAGCAGCGGCTGTAGAGGCAGCGGATAACCCTGGGGGGCCCTGGTCCTGCATCTAGCAGCTCCCCCAGTGTCTTTGTGCTTCCCCGCACTCCAGGGGCCTCAAAGAACACACAGGTCCTCCTGTTTGGGGGTGCTGAGGCCCAGGATGGGGAAAGGAGAGGATTCAAAACGGGAGTGAATGCTGGGGCAAAAACAGTAGCCAAAAGGATAGACAAAGCATACATATATAAATATATTTTCATAGCCCAGGGTCACTAGAGTGAAGCCACAGGAGGACATGGGGTCAGCCGAGGCCTGGAACCTGAACCCCGCCATCTGGACACATGGGTCTACCCTTCACCCTCACTCATCCAGCCCTGTCGCCCTCTCCTCACGGTGCCCCCTCCCCGCATGGGGTGATGGGAAATACCCTGCCCCTCTCTGTGGGCACTTACCCTGCACAGCCGCAGGAAGCAGTGCCCAAAGCCCCAGAGTGCCCAGCATCCTACCGCAGGGTGGCAGCCGCTGCAGGAGAGCACCAGCCAGCGCGGCCAGCGCTCCCTTTACATACAGGGCACTGTGGGGCTTCAGGTCCCTCAGTCCCCAACTCCGCCCCCTCCGTCCTATCCCAGTCTCCCGGGAGAAGGCTGCTGTGGGGGAGAGGGTGGGTGGGGGGAGAGCAGAGGAAGAAAGGGAGGAGCGGGAACCAATCTCATATCCTCCTCGCTTCAGCCACCTCCTCTTTCCTCTGCATGGTGGGAGGAAGGGGCCGTGGAGGCCCGGCTGAGAGCCTGGCGATGCCTGACTTCAATCCGCTGCCTTTGGCTGACCCTGAGAGGGTGCTGGGCCCTGTTGGCCACTTCTCAGGCTTAGAAAAACCAAAGCCATGTCAAGACCTTAGAACCATGCATTCAGGGGTAACATCTGAAGGTCTCTGGGCAGAGAGCAGCTTCACAGCCCAGAGTTCTAGTCTTCCAAACTCAGGAATTAGAAAGGATATAAAATTCCCCAGAGTTAAAAATCACATCATTATTGAAAGGTTAACTTTTTCTTTTCTTTCTTTTTTTTTTTTTTTTTTTACTGGGCACACACCATGTGCTAGGGTGCAGCTACGTCTATTCCTTGATAATCATCTCACTTCTCCTGCACAGGTAGTTAGGAAAAGTGAGTTTAGGTAGGCTGTCCAAGGTCAAGTCGGATCTGAACCTAGGTAAATCTGACTCTGAAGTCCAGGCTTTGTTCTTTGTAATACACCATGCTTCCTGAAAAAAACATGTAAAATTCAGCAGTAAAAGAGATATTTTCACTTAATATTTGGATCGTTGAGAAAATATGCACCATTACCTGCCTGCGGGCCACTAACTAGAAAGGGAGGGTACAGTTCACCCCGTCACCACCAGAGGTCAGCAGACATGGGAGAAACTCCAGGCTGCGCTGGGGGCAGATGGATGCCCACAATACACCTCCCGGGAGGAATCAGATGTAGTGACCAGAACATGTGAAGGGAGGACACGGGGTGTGAAGAGAGGACACATGGTGTGCACGGAGAAGGCCTGTGGCTTCGGCTGCAACGGACACAGGAGTCTAGCCCCAGCAGACTCTTGCCCAAAGTGAGAAACTAGTGAACCGGAAATTATTTCCACACCTGTGAGCAGCTGGCTCCCAAGCGAATGGGGGTGGGGGAAAAGCAGTATTTCCCCAGCTTTCTGTCCCCCTGGTGGCAGCCCAGAACCCCTTCCTCAGAGTGACCTCGCTGAGGCCAGCGATGAGAATAGACGCTTTTTTTTTTTTTTTTTTTTTGACAGGCAGAGTGGACAGAGAGAGACAGAGAGAGAAAGGTCTTCCTTTGCCGTTGGTTCACCCTCCAATGGCCGCCGCTGCAGCCGGCGCACCGTGCTGATCCGAAGGCAGGAGCCAGGAGCCAGGTGCTTTTCCTGGTCTCCCATGGGGTGCAGGGCCCAAGCACCTGGGCCATCCTCCACTGCACTCCCTGGCCATAGCAGAGAGCTGGCCTGGAAGAGGGGCAACCGGGACAGAATCCGGCGCCCCAACCGGGACTAGAACCCGGTGTGCCGGCGCCGCAAGGTGGAGGATTAGCCTATTGAGCCACGGCGAGAATAGACGCTTTCAATTCAAGGGCCTTTCTCCTCCTGGGTTGCTGCTTGCAAAGAGGAGAACAAATGCTCCAATGGGTGTAAAACTGCCACTGCAGGGATGGCCAGGGCTGGAGGGGGCTGCCCGCCCTTCCCCGCGCCCTTCCAGGGGCCTATGGGGCCCTGCTGGTGAGGAGGAATGTCCAGCCGTCTGTGGGCTCCCAGATCAGATCAGTCTGGGAAGGAGGGTGGTAACCGGTGGGTGGAGTTGAAGGTCAAATAGCTTCTTTGTCTGGAGTGTCTCAGACAACTCCTTCAGGGAGGGAGCAGGCCAAGAAAGGCAGCTTCTACGCTGAAAACCCTCTTCAAAGGCAGAAAAACCATGCCTAGAGATGTTGAGAGCAGGGGTGAGGATGTGGGTGCTGGGTAGGAAGGGCCTGGAGGAGGCTTCCAGCCCCGGAGGAAAGGCTTCCTGGATTGCACATTCACAGCCAACCTCATCAGGGACTCGGGATTCAAGGCAGTGGTGATCCCGCTGTATGGGACTAGAGGGAGTTGTTTATTCATTCAATTCAGCAAATAATTAGATCCCACTCTTAAAAAAAAAAAGGTATTTCATTAGGTCCTGAGCCTGCAAAAGATGGAAGTGTGATTCCAGCCCTCTAGAAACTTAGTCTAGAAAAGCAGGTGCATATACACATTAGCAAGCAAGCATAAAATTTAGTATATTAGGCGTATCAACAAGGAGCCGTCCAAGCAGAAAGATGAAATCAGCTGATTCAGCCTAAGGCACAGAAAATAGGGGAGGGGAGTGCCCAGAGAGGGCTTCAGAGGAGGGTATTTCCATAACCCCAGAAAGGAGCACGAGCGTGGCACGGAGATATAAACACAAAGCAGACTGTGCTGCGGGTGAGGGAAGTGAGAATAAAGCGGTATGAGACTGGGGCCACACCAGACTGGAGAGGTTTTCCAATCCCGCAGCCAGGAGCTTAGCCTTTTTGTAAAAAGCAAAGGATTTTAGGCAGGGGCCTGGCAGCAACACGACAGTGGCTGAATGGGGCTCAGGGAGATCAGTAGGGAGACCGAGGCCGTGGGGTGGACACTGCGGCACAGTGGGTTAAGCTGCCACTTGGGACTCCCACACTGATGTGCCTGGATTCGAGTTCTGCCTCTGATTCTGATCCAGCTTCCTGCTAACGTGCATCCTGGGAGGCAGCTGATGATGGTCAAGTACCTGGGTGTCTATCACCCACGTGAGAGACCTGGGTGAAGTTCCCGGTTCCTGGCTTTAGCCTGGCCCAGCCCTGGCTATTGTCGGCATTTTGGGGAAGCAGATCAAAGCGCCCTTCTCTCTTTCCAATTTCTGTTGCTCTGCCTCCCAAATAACTAACGCTTCAGAGACAGCACTAAAGGCCGACTGAGGTTTCAAGTGTGAGTGTTCAAGGGCTAGGTGATACTGTTAAGTGAGACATGGATCAGAAGACTGTCCTTCTAACACGTGCAGGACGTCCAGATGAAAATGTCCAGCAGGTATCCAGGACAAGACAAAAGCTGGGACTCAAGGTTTGGGAGCTGTCATCATTTAGGTAAGAGTGGACAGGACTTAAGGGGGAGAAGGAACAAGGAACGGAACATTGCCGCAGAGAGGCCTAGGGGACCAGCTACTCAAAGATGACTGGGGCTGGCAACTGGGTTGCTGATGTTAATTTTTAGAAAAAAGTCTTAGCCGGCGCCATGGCTCAATAGGCTAATCCTCCGCCTTGTGGCGCCGGCACACTGGGTTCTAGTCCCGGTCAGGGTGCCGGATTCTGTCCCAGTTGCCCCTCTTCCAGGCTAGCTCTCTGCTAAGGCCCGGGAGTGCAGTGGAGGATGGCCCAAGTGCTTGGGCCCTGCACCCCATGGGAGACCAGGAAAAGCACCTGGCTCCTGCCATCAGATCAGTGCAATGCGCCGGCCACGGCGGCCATTGGAGGGTGAACCAATGGCAAAGGAAGAGCTTTCTCTCTGTCTCTCTCTCACTGTCCACTCTGCCTGTCAAAAAATTAAAAAAAAAAAAAAAAAAGTCTTGGTAAATAATGGGTGCCAAACAGGGGCCTAAGGAGTGCATCCTGGAAGAAAAAAAAAAAATGAACATAAACTACTGTAGGAACTTTGGAAATGAAAGGAACTAGATCAGAAGCTCGAGGTTTTTTCAAAATGGGGGAAGGAAGAGGGGACTCAAACAGGCTGCCAGGCTAACCAAAGGGAACCAAAGGAGGGACTAAGGATAAAAGAGGAAAATATAAAAAAGAAGGAAAAAAAAGTCAAAAGAAACACGATTAAGAGCACACGTAGCGGGTCTGGCTTACCAAATGGTGAAAAAAGAACAAAATAGAAGGAGTCTTCGAATCATCCATGGAAATACAAGTTACGGAAAAACTATTCACTGATCTCAAATTTTGTTTGGCACCAAAATAAACATCTTGGAAAAACTTTTTTTTAAAGAGGGAGGTGGGGCTGAGAGAAGCTCCCATCCAATCTGCTGGTTCCTTCCCTAAATGCCTGCCCTGCTGCTGCTGGGACTGCGCAGAAGCCAGGAGCCAGAAAGCAATCGGGGCTCCCACGTGGGCGGCAGGAGTCCACTTATTTGAGGGATCACTGTCGTCTGTGTCCCCACTGGAAGCTGGGGTCAAGAGTGGAGCTGGGGAGCATTTTTTTAAAAATTAATTTGAAAGGGTTAGAGAGAGTCTTCCATCTATTGGTTCACTCCCCAAATGGCTCCAATGGTCGGAGCCAGAATCTTCTTTCAGGTCTCAACGAGGGTGCAGGGGCCCAAATGCTTGGGCCATCTTCTACTGCTTTCCCAGGCCATAGCACAGAGCTGGATCCGAAGTGGAGCAGCCAGGACTAGAACTGGCACCTAAATGGGATGTCGGCACTGCAGGCAGGGGCTTTAATCTACTGCACCACACCACCAGCCCCAAACCCGTGCATTCTGATATGAGATGTGGGCATCCTAACCCGGAATCCAAAACTCATCTTTTAATTCCATTTTCCCATAAACATTTTGAAGTTCCCTGTCTAGTGTTTGTATTGTGAGAAGAGGAAAGTTTGAAAACACACTTCCATTTTATCCATGAACTAAGAGACAAGTCATCTGCTGAAAATGAGGTCAGGATTGGAAAACTAGCAATTAATGGAATCTGTCTTAACTTCCACACTATGAAGTATTAAAATTTTTTTTTCAAAGATTTATTTTATTTTACATGCAGAGTTACAGAGAAAGAGAGAGGTCTTCCATCTGCTAGTTCACTCCCCAAATAGTCACAATGGCCGGAGCTGGGCTGATCTAAAGCTAGGAATCAGAAGCTTCTTCAGGGTCTCCCATGTGGGTGCAGGGGCCCAAGCACCTGGGCCATCTTCCATTGCTTTCCTCGGCCATCAGCAGAGCTGGTCAGGAAAAGGAGCAGCTGAGATCTGAAGCGGCACCCACAAGGGATGCTGGCGTCGCAGGCAGAGGCTTAACCTACCATGCACAGTGCCAGCCTCCCAGACATGAAGTCCTGGTGGCAGGGCCTGTTGTATGTAACTTTCTATCCTCGGCTCAAGTTCACATCCCATACACAGAAAAGGCTCAATAATCGTGCCATTTATGTTTACTGAATAAATGGCACAATTAGGGGCTCATTTAAGGCTGCAAAAATCACACACACACACACACACACACACACCCATGTGAAAATGTTATTTTGTTATGGCTATCTAAGGAAATCAACTAGTTGAATTTACCCAGTGCTGAGTATTGACAAAGCAGACACAGGGAATGGAATGAGCAAAACAATTGAGAACGCTGGTACCCATGGTATTAACAGTTGACTGAAGATTTCTAGGCTGGGTAGGAAAATGAAATCAGAGCCTGATGGACAACCGCGAAGCCTGTCAGAATAACTTCAATTTCAGAAGGGACCGCTATCCAGATTTAATGTTAGCTACAGGCTAGTATTAACCAAACACAGAGTATGTCGGATCCTGTATCTAAATCCCATTCTCCAATAAAACAAAGCTCCTTAAGGAAATGGCTGACCCTTGGTCTGGGGCAGGGGAAATACAAGATGAACCTAAAGTGTTTTATGTTATCAGAAAGACAGCGTTAAAAACAAAACCAAACCCTAAAGATGGTGAGTGGGGCAGGCGCTGTGGCTCAATAGGCTAATCCTCTGCCTTGCGGTGCCGGCACACCGGGTTCTAGTCCCGGTCAGGGCACAAGATTCTGTCCCGGTTGCCCCTCTTCCAGGCCAGCTCTCTGCTGTGGCCAGGGAGTGCAGTGGAGGATGGCCCAAGTGCTTGGGCCCTGCACCCCATGGGAGACCAGGAGAAGCACCTGGCTCCTGCCTTTGGATCAGCACGGTGCGCCGGCTGCGGCGGCCATTGGAGGGTGAACCAACGGCAAAAGGAAGAAGACCTTTCTCTCTGTCCACTCTGCCTGGCAAAAAAAAAAAAAAAAAAAAAAAAAAAAAAAAAGAAAAAGATGGTGAGTGGGATGCATGGCGAAGGCTCCGGAGTAGAACCGTGGTGTGTATGAAGCAGGATGATAAGGTCCCTCAGGGTGGGGTGGGGGACAAATCTTGTTTGGTGGATGAGGAGGCATATTTTTCATTATACAGTATTTTAAGAGAGTAATCTGGGGGCTGGTGATGTGGCGCAGCAGGTACAGCCACCGCCTGTGATGTGGGCATCCCATATAGGCACCCATTTGTGAACCGGCTGTTCCATTTCCAACCCAGCTCCCTGCCAATGGCCGCAGAAGAGCAGATGGCTCAAGTGTTCAGGCCCCTGACACCTATGTGGGAGACTTGGATGAAGTGCCTGGTTTGGCTAGCCTCAGCCCTGGCAGTTCCAGCCATTCGGGAAGTGAACCAGCAGATTTAAGGCCTTTGTTTCTCCCTCACTCTCTGTAATTTTCAAATAAATAAATAAACCTTTAAAAAAACCCAAGTGGCAAAACTAAAAAAGGAAGCCCAGGGGCTGGCACTGTGGCATAGTGGGTAAAGCAGCCGCCTGTGATGCCAGCTCCTATGGGTGCTGGTTCAAATCCTGGCTGCTCCACTTCCCATCCAGCTTCCTGCTAATATATCTAGGAAAGCAGCTTGGGCCCCTGTACCCACACTAGACCCAGAAGTTCCTGGCTCCTGGTTTTGGCCTGGCACAAATGGCCCTGGCTGTTGTGGCCATTTGGGGAGTGAACCAGCAGATGGAAGCTCTCTCCTACCTTTCAAATAAATATCCTAAAAAAGTGTAGGGGAGGGCCTGCTCGCATTTTGCCTAGTAAAGATTAAAGATACCCTCATCCCATCCTGGAATGCCTGTGTTCTATGAGGCTCTGGTTCCTGACTCCAGCTTCCTGCTTGTGCAGTGCAGACCTTTGGAGGGAGCAGGTGATGGCTTCAAGCAATTGGGTTCTTGTCACCCACATGGGAAACCTGGACTGAATTCTCGGCTCCCAGCTTCAGTCCAGCCCACACTCTGTGGGCCTTTGGGGAGTGAACCAGCAGATGGGAGTTCTTTCCATGGTTCGCAAACAAGAAAAATAAAATATTAGCAGATAAAAGATATACAGGAGCCAACCTGGAGGAGCTCCCAAAGGCCAACACTGGGACAACGTGAGCAACTGAATAAAAGTAGCAGTGACTGATTGCAACCCATGTAGGAACTATACATGAATACATATCTAAATCCTAACTTCAGAGCTAGAAACCTGACACATGCCAATTTAACAAACTCATGAAGATGATCATGGGAAAGGTTAAGTGGATGCCACTTACTCTCTAACAGGATGTGATAAGGGCACTTCATCTCTATGGTATTCCAAAAAATCCATAAAGTAAGTTTCACAGTCAGCAAAAACACCAGACAACCCCAGACTGGGAGATATTCAATAGGATACTTGTTCAATATTCCCGAAGACTGCGAAGGCCATGAAAAACAAGGAAAGAATAACAAACTGTCCAGAGGAGACTGGGAAGGCACGGTAAATCAGAGTGAGCAGACCCCAGACAGAAACAGGGAATCAAAGGAAAAACTGGGGACACCCAGAGTCTGCAGTTCAACTAATATAACGTGCCCGTGTTAGCTTCTACTTTTTTTGGTCATTGTATCACAGCAGTAATGTCAACAAGGGAGAAAACTGGGTGAGGACTATATAGAAACTCTATCATTGCAACTTCTCTACACTCAAAATTATTCCAGAATCAGCAGCTTAAAAAAAAAAAGTTGGAGCTGCCTCTCTTCCTCTCGTTGGTCCGTATCTCTATGAAGTTGTGGTGCACTGATCTGATTGTGAAACTGGTACCTGGAAGTTAAGTATACGATGACTGCACATGTATGGGAAAACACCAGTACAGTTGGAAACCTTTGTTCAGTTTAGAATGCTACCCATTCCCAACCCCCCTCAATACACCAGAGACAGCTTTTTATTAAAAAAAACTTTTTAATTGGTTTACAAAGGAGCTACAGACTACATTGAAACTAATCTTTGTACAAAAGGCCAAAAAAAAAAAAAAAAAAAAAAAAAAAAAAGCGCCCCCAAAACACCCAGAGACAAAAGGTAGGGGGGAGAGACAAGAAAGGAAGAGACAAGAGGAGCAGGAAGAAACTGAAAGGTCAAAGATTAGCATCGTACACACCCGAGGGTGAAGGGGGAAAGAGCAGGATGGGAGCATTTAAACGCATTTACCCACACAGCCCTGGTGACAACTGGATGGGAACCGATAACACAGTGTGAGATTATCAGGAAAAGGCAACAGTGGTATGGAGACTGGTTATTGCCAGTGTTAAGAGAAAAATTAACTTGTTTTAGGCACCAGAGATTGGAGCACTACCCCTCGCCCCCAGAGGATGTCAGACCTGGGAAGAGGGAGCAGGCCCTGGGGCAGCTGCCATTGGTGTGTGTAGGAGGGATCTCCTCAGGTCAATCTCAGCACATTCTCCTCAAAGTCTTTGTGTCCTAAACTCTAGAAAAGGGTTCCAGGATGTCAGTGGGGAACAGGGATGATCAAAAATATGAAGACCCGCCTTTGTCCACACTGTTCAAGAGCAGTTACTGGGGAAGTGGAGGGCTGGCGAGACAAAGCCCATTCCCCTGCGGAGAAGGCACAGTGTAATTCCTGAAGGCGAAATATAGGAAAACACACAGCCCAGGGGAGCTATCAACAAAGTCTTCACTGCCTGCAGCAGCGGCCTAACCTCATCTGAAACCCCACCCTCCTTACTGAGCTGGGACTTGGGGGAGATGAGAGACTAATTACCACACTTCTACTCCCTTAGCAAAAACAAAGAAGGCTGGGGCTCTTTCATATGGAAGAAGGGCAAAGTAGGATGAAATTCTCCTTTTTTTACATAGGAGGTTGTGGAAGGTGTCTTTTGGGACCTGAGGAGGTCAGAGTAGAGAAGATTTAGGGGAGAAATGAAGCAATGCACTCCCTCTTTTTTTCTTTTCCCAATCTTCAATCTAAGGCAAGTGAGCCAAATCTGAAGAGGGAAAAGAAACGTAAGCCTATGGCTGCTTAATGTCTTCCGGGGGGCTGGTGTTTCGGGAAGGCAGACAGAAAAGAAACAGGTCAACCTCAAAGCTGGTCTGCTCATCCTCCCAGAGGAGGTCTGCACCCCCAGAGTAGAGCCAAGAGAGGCACTAGAGAGAGAACACAGTCTCCCAAACAAAAGCAATAACCTGCCCCTATCTTATCAGCAGTTTTCAAAAGCAAGGTTTTCCGGGGCTGGAGCAGTGCCATCTCCTCCTCCCTCTCCCCCAAGCTACCGCTGCCACCTTTCATCCTTGCATGGAAGTTACTGGTTCCCTTCTAAGTGAAGATCAAACTCTGAGATTCCACATTTCTCCTTCCAACCCCCGGAGGCTACCCAGCTTCAGCCAGAGGAAGAGGAGCTAGGCAAAGGGACCTCCACTTGAGTTAGCAAAACTGTCTTCTCTTCCTTGGTACCTGATCTCCAAAATTATTCTGATCTGATCCCAAGGTTCAAAAGGCATCAGGGTACTTAAAATTGAAGGAAAACTACGCAAGTAGCACCAGGGCTCCCCCAAAGCATAACAGGGGCCTGATTAGCACCCCCAGAAGAACCCCTTAAAAAGTATATAAATTTATTGCGTTCTAGCAAAGATCTGCAGCTTCCAGTATTCACACAATGTGAAGATATTAACAATACAAAATATACTCTGACAGTCAAACACCTGCAGTTCATAGTGCTTTCTCAGATTTGTTAAAAAAATACGCTTACTTCCCTATATAGGATATACAAAAGCAAAAAATATATATATGTATATAGTAGAAATAAATCAGCCATAGTAATTTACAGCTTTTGTCTCCAACCCTCCCCCAATCATAATCTTTACCCCACACTCAGTCTACACTTTCTGGGATCAAGGGTTCTATTTATCCTAAAACCGAGCTGAGAAATTTCCATTAAACTGCATTCTGAACAGCACCCACAGACAGAGTGCAGGCCAGGAGCCCTGAAGGGCGATGCTGTGGGTAAAAAGTGAGAAAGTCAAAGGGTGAGCGAATCAATGCGACTGGGAGCCCCGAAAGGGCAAGGGGGTGAGTGCTTTCACAGCACCCCTCTTCTGGGCACCCCCCGCCTCGGAAGGCTTGGTCATTGAAGAAATTAATTAAAAAAAAAAAAAAAACTCATAAAAAAACTTCAGAATCAACATACATGTCAGTTAATTTCTGCTGGCTGGAAAGCTCTGGGAAAGGGGCTTTTCAGTAAGGAGCTCCTGCTCACAGAACGCAGCCTCCCAACTTGCGATGGAGGAGACCGAGTGACTCACAGCTGCTGGAAGACAAGGGGCCCAAACAAGAGACCCAGGTCAGGAGCTTGCTTGGTAGTAAGGTAAACAGAGCAAGTGGAAAGAAGTGGCTATCAGTTCACTCGTGGTAATGCTAATGAAGGGGGCTGAGGGTAAACCAGCAGCTTTTCATTCAAGAGAGAGAGAGATCATCAAATAACCTCAATGCTTGCAGTCTCCTGCATTGTTAACCTAGTTTGTAGCTAACAATTTCATACTGGAGAAGGTTCCATCCCTTGAAATGCTCTAGCAAAACACTGCTCACTCCAGTTGATCCTGCCCCTTTCCTCCAAAATATGCCAAAGCACATGATTACAGACATAAAATAACAGGTCTGAGTTCTGCCTTTCAGTGGGGATAAAGAGTGTGAAAGTGGCTGGGCATGGATGGCTTTTACTTCAGCACTAACAGAATCTGCACTGGGTCAAGTTCCTTGCAACAGTTCCTGAGTGGTATAAGAAGTCTGCAGAGAAAGGAGTGAACTAGTATATAGAGTATTAACAGTTATTATATTTCAGGTTAAACAACATAAACTTACCCAAAATCTAATCTGGGTGAATTTTATATAAAATATATAGTAGAATCATAGCATCATCTTTTGTAGCCAAGATAAAAAAGACGTAAGAAAAGGACAAAACTCTGCTATAGCTCTGGATGTTGGTTTCACTTTCAAACACAAAAATAGTTCCTTCTTTAAAAAGTGCAGAATATCCCCCGTTCATAATTGTAAATGATTTAGCAAAAGCAGAGAAATTACCTCAGGAACATACCCAGGTTTTAAGGTAGATTTCTAGGTAATGGGCCTGAAAGGCATTTTGATCTGAATTTGATTTATTTTCCAACAATTTCAAATATAATTTCTCATCTGTATGTAGATATATACAGGAACACACACACACTCACACACAGTCATCCACAAACACTGCACTTTCTATCAGATCAGGGTTATTTTTTATTGCAGGTCTCTTTTCATATTGGCTAACAATAAACCTATCCCCAACCTAACAGATTACACACATACACACAGCCATTTCCACACTTCCTCACAGTGAAAAGCTCTCTAACAAGATACCAGAAGGTCAAGAGAGACAATGCTTTTTAATGGCTGGGCCTTGAGGACAACTCTGGTTGCATTTAAATCTCAGTGCCAAACGCACTAAGAGTTCCCTGCCGCTATAATTTTTGGATCAGTCTCTTCTGGAATCAGGCCACGGAGAAAGTAGGATGGTTTCTCCCAATCTCTCCTATAAACCAGTGGTAAGACAAGATTTCTTTTTGTTCTGGGCTATCATTCCCATGATCGCATGCTTCTTTTTCCCCTAGGAACCACCCAAGTACATACAAGGAAGAGTCTGGGGAAAAGATCCTAAGAACAACTGTCTTGCCACTAGGACATGCTCTGGAGTTCTGCAGAATGGAAACCTGGAACACATTCATTGGCTGATGCTTCTTAACAACAGAATGGAAAAGAAACTAATGGGGGGTGTTCAGGAGGAAGCATGTTTCCTTTCAGGATCTGAACTCAGAGCTCCACACATCAAGGCTTAGTGTTACCCTGGAAGACAATGGTGCCCAAGTCCAAATACTCCACTAACTTCTGAATCTGACTCCTATGAGTCACTTCCTCTTCTGAACACATCTTTTTCTTACTGAAGGCTTCTATCTATCATCTGACCACTTTTTAAAGTTTAAGCAAACTGATTTCAGATCATCACCTTCAAAGCATCTCTTGTGTAGTTCCACAGAAAGGCTTCCGATTCTTCAGGTTTACAGCAGCTAGTGAGGGGAGATGCGTTTGACTCTCCGGCACCAAGAAGGTGCCTGCGTCAGTAGTACTTTGAGCACTCCCGCCACAGCTACCTCAAGCATCAGCCTGAGTTCTAAGGTTTTCCATTCTGCTGCTGGGACTAATGTCTTGAAAAGATGGACAGAAGTGCCTCACCTAGGGATCACTATCAAACACAAAGTGTGAAGTGACCAGGAGAGAGAGGGGCAGACAGAAAGGGCGGAGTCAGGAAAGGAGTGCAAGAAGCTGATCCCAAATAAAAATACAAAATTAAGAAAGGAAAAACATTATGTTTGTATAATTAAACTAAAAGCTGAAGATATGAACGCTTAATCTGGTGGGTAGCCAAGACAACATCCACAGAAAAGCTTGATGTGTCACAACAAGGCTCAGCCATAGGAAAATAAGGCAATATAAAAAAAATGACCAAGGTATTTTGGTCACAGAATGGTCTCCTTCCTCCTCCCAGCCAACCCCTGTGAATGCATCTCTATATATCTTTTTATATATAATATATATATAATATAGAATCTTTTTTGTTAAAAAGTATTTCAATGATCATATATATTTATCAAGGCATGATGGCTTTAGGAAAGGGGGGATCCATCATGAGAGAGCTGAGAAGGGAAACGCAGGAAGGAGAGGCTGGGGTCAGAAGTGTAAAAAGAAACCAGGGTCAAACACTCATCAAAGGGTGGCATCAGCAGAATGTTCACTAATGTCTCCCGCCTTCAGAAAGGCACTGATGACACACAAGTGGGTGCCGGGACCCCATCGCTTCTCTCGTTTGCCTTCCCCAACTCTTCCACCACCATGCATTTTAATGCCTCATGGCTTCACTCTCCCACATGTCTCTTGGACCCATGCTACCTTGTATCCCAGGGTTGACAGGTATGGCCCATGTGTCTCTGGCCCCGGGTGCCTGATCTCAGAAGCCATTGCCACTGATATTAATGGACTGCAGATCCGCAACCTGCATGACGTTGATGCCACTGTTGGCAAGACGAGCAATGCCCTCTGGACAGATGGCCTCCATGGCTACCATATTGGTGGTAATAAGGGCTGACGGGGTAGCAGTGCCGCTGCCTTCCGAACCTGCCCCACTGTCCAGGGGCAAAGTGCCCACGCTCAGGGCAACACCTGGGCCTGCCTTCTTATTCTGGTGAGTCTTGATATGCTTTGACAGGTGGTCACTCCTCATGAAGCGCTTAGGACACTCAGGACAGGCAAATTTCTTTTCACCTAGGTAAAGAAGAGAAAGAAGATAAGAAACTAGGGGCTGGCAAACTGGGTAAAGCCACTGCCTGCAAAGCTGACATCCCATACTGGCATTGGTTTGAGTTCTGGTTGTTCTACTTCTGGTTCAGCTCCCTGCCAATGTGCTTTGGAAAGCAGCAGACAACGGCCGAAGTTCCTGGGCTCCTGCACCCACATTAGAGAAGTAGAAGCTCCTGGCTTCCATCTGGCCTGCCCCAGCCATTGTGGCCATTTGCGGAGTGAATGCATGAAATATCTCTCTCTCTCACTTCCCTGTAACTCTTTTATTTTTTTTTAAAGATTTATTTATTTATTTGAAAGTCAGAGTTACACAGAAAGAGAAGGAGAGGCAGAGAGAGAGAGAGAGGTTTTCCTTCTGTTGGTTCATCCCAGAAATGGCCGCAATGGCCAGAGCTGCGCTGATCCGAAGCCAGGAGGTTTTTCTGAGTCTCCCATGTGAGTGCAGGAGTCCAAGCACTTGGGCCATCTTCTACTGCTTTCGGCAGTGCCAGCCCCCACTATAACTCTTTTAAAAAGAAATCTTTTAAAAAAAATAAAAGAAAGAAGAAAAAGAAACTAATAATAAGGGGGCCGGTGTTATGGCATAGCGGGTTAAGCTAACACCTGTAATGCCTGCAGCCCATATGGGCGTCAGTTCCAGTCCCAAATGCTCCACTTCAGATCCAGCTCCCTGCTAATGCTCCTGGGAAAAGCAAAAGAAGATGGCCCAAGGGACTGGCCCCCCGCCACCCATGTGAGAGACCTAGATGAAGCTCATGGTATCAGCATGGCCCAGCCCTAGCTGTTGCAGTCATCTGAGGGGTGAATGGTGGATGGACAATCTCTGACTTTCAAATAAATAAATATATCTTTAAGGAAAAAAAAAAAAAAAAAAAAGAGAGCGAGAGAAACTGCTAATTCACTGCCTTCAAACAGTATTAGGCAGAAAAAGACCGGAATTCTTTCCAATTTTTGGAGAAGAACCATAGGTAAAAGGCTGGGAGGCAACACAGAGACTAAAAATAATGAGATCAATCCTCCTCTTTCAAAATCCCACTTGAGGGGCCAGCATTGTGGCATAGGGAGTTGGGCTGCCCCTTTGCAGCGCCAACATCCCATGGGCACCAGTTTGACTCCTAGCTGCTCTAATTCTGATCCAGTTCCCTACTAGTGTGCATGGGAAAGCAGCAGAAGATGGCCCAAGCTCCCAGGTAGGAGACCAGGAAGAAGTTCCTGGCTCCTGGCTTGGCCCAGTCCTGGCTGTTGCAGCCTTTTTTTTTTTTTTTTTTTTTTTTTTGGACAGGCAGAGTGGACAGTGAGAGAGACAGAGAGAAAGGTCTTCCCTTTGCCGTTGGTTCACCCTGCAATAGCGACAGCGACCGATGCGCTGCGGCCGGTGCACCGCGCCGATCCAAAGGCGGAGGCCAGGTGCTTCTCGTGGTCTCCCATGGGGTGCAGCGTCCAAGCGCTTGGGCCATCCTCCACTGCACTCTCTGGGCACAGCAGAGAGCTCGCCTGGAAGAGGCGCAACTGAGAATCCGGCGCCCCGCCCAGCGACTAGAATTCGGGGGGTGCCGCTCACAAGGCGGAGGATTAGCCTAGTGAGCCACGGCGCCGGCCGAAACCTAGTTCCTTTTTAAAATTTATTTGAAAGGCAGAGTTCAGAGAGCAGGGGAGCGAGGGAGAGAGAGAGAGAGAGAGGGAGGGAGGGAGGGAGGGAGGGAGGGGGAGGGAGAGAGAGAGAGAGAGAGAGAGAGAGAGAGAGAGATCTTCCATCCAATGGTTCACTCCCCAGATGGCCGTAACAGCCAGGGTTGGGCCAGCCCAAAGCCAGGAGCCTAGGGATTTGGGCCATCTTCCACCACTTTCCCAGGCACATTAGCAGGGAGCTGGACTGGAAGTGGAACAGGATGGTCTCCAACTGATGCCCACATGGAATACTGGTTTAGGAGACCCAGACTTAAATTGTTCCACCACAGCACTGGCCCCTCCTTCCTTCTTTTTTTAAATTTATTTTTAAAGATTCATTTATTTGAAAGGCAGAGATACAGGCCGGTGCCGCGGCTCACTAGGCTAATCCTCCACCTTGCAGCGCCAGCACACCAGGTTCTAGTCCCGGTCGGGGCGCCGGATTCTTTCCTGGTTACCCCTCTTCCAGGCCAGCTCTCTGCTGTGGCCCGAGAAGGCAGTGGAGGATGGCCCAAGTGCTTGGGCCCTGCACCCCACGGGAGACCAGGAGAAGCACCTGGCTCCTGGCTTCGGATCAGTGCGGTGGGCCGGCTGCAGCGCATCAGCCGTGGCGGCCATTGGAGGGTGAACCAACGGCAAAAAGGAAGACCTTTCTCTCTGTCTCTCTCTCTCACTATCCACTCTGCCTGTCAAAAAAAAAAAAAAAAAAAAAAAAAAAAAAGAAAAGAAAAGAAAGAAAGAAAGAAAGGAAGGAAGGAAGGCAGGCAGGCAGAGATACATAGAGAGAAGGACTTGGGTCATCTTCCACTGCTTTCCCAGGTGCATCAGCAGTGAGCTGGGTTGGAAGTAGAACAGCTGGAATTCGAACCGGTGCACATTTGAGATGCCAACACTGCAGGCAGAGGCTTAACTTTCTATGCCACAGCACTGGCCTCTCCTTCCTTCTGAAGTTTTCCAGATTAACTCCAATTCTATTCGTGACCCAAATACATATTTCAGTTTCAAAAACGTAAGTTGCTCAGAAAGTGGAGCTGCTTCATACGCACATTTTGTACCTTTCCATTCTGGTCTATTACTGCTCTTGCTTACCTGTGTGTGTGCGTTTGTGCCTCTGGAGCTCATCCGAACGTGTGAAGCGTTTCCCACAGTAGGACCAGGTACACATGAATGGCCTCTCGCCTGTATGCCAGCGCAAGTGTGCCCGTAGGTGTGAAGTCTTGCCATATACTTTGCCACAGCCTTGAATGTGGCAAATATGCTGTTTTTTCTTGCCAGGATCTCCAGAGGCCCTGCAAGAACACAACCTGATTTACACTTTCTAGAGAGAAAAGTATCAACCGCAACTACCCAACCCACCCGAAATTAACCCGAAACGAACTTTCATTTTTGAAAAAACGTTTCTGGGAGCCAGCATCCCACTTCAGATCACATATCAGCTGCTCTGCTTCTGATCCAGCTCCCTGCTAGTGCACCTAGCCACCATGTGGGATGGAGTTCCTGGCTCCTGAATTTGGCCTGGCCCAGACCTGGCTGTTGCAGCCATTTCGGGAGTGAACCACAGAAATGAAAATCTCTCCTTACTATCTGTGCAACTCTGCCTTTCCAATACATACGTACATTGTAAAACAAAAGAGATAAATATCCAGCTAGTTTTGGCTCCAAATTCCCAAAATTCAAATTGTAGGTTTGCCCTTTACTGGGTATTTGTTCATTCCTGCTTTTCTATTCTTTAATCAATTTAACCAAAGTTATTTCTTGTTGTTTCAAGAGATAACCATGCTCAACGTGCTTGTGAAGTTTAGGTAGTATTTTTTTGGCAGTTTACAGAGAGGCAGATAGAGACAAAGAAAATCAGACAGAGTCTCCATCCTCTGGCTTACTGCACAAATGCCTTCAAAGGCTGGGAGCGAAGTTGGGAGCTAGGAGCTCAAGCTAGGTCTTGCACAGCAGGAGGCCCAATTATTTGAGCCATCACTGCTACCTCCCAATGTCTGCATCAGCAGGAAGCTAAAGTCAGGAGCCCAATCTGGGTACTCCAAGGTGGGATGCAGGGATTTTTTTTTTTTTTTTTTAATTTATTTATTTACTTGAAAGTCAGAGTTACACAGGGAGAGAAGGAGAGGCAGAGAGAGAGAGCGGTCTTCCATCCGCTGGTTCACTTCCCAAATGGCCACCAACAGCCGGAGCTGGGCCGATCCGAAGCCAGGAGCCAGGAGCTTCCTCCAGGTCTCTCACACGGGTGCAGGGACTCAAGGACTTAGGTGATCTTCTGTTTCCCCAGGCCATAGCAGAGAGCTGGATCGGAAGTGCAGCAGCTGGGACATGAACCAGCGTCCATATGGGATGCCAGCACTGCAGGTGGCAGCTTTACCTGCTATGCCACAACGCTGGCCCCTGGTGCAGGCATCTTAACCAGTATCATAACTACTAGGCTAAACACCCATCCTATTTTCAGAAAGTATTGTTTCCTTAAAAATAAAATCCATGGGGCCAGCGCTGTGGCAAGCCAGGGGAAGCCACCACCTTCGGTGCCAGCATCCCATGTCGGCGCTGGTTCAGGTCCGGCTGCTCCATTTCTGATCCAGCTCTCTGCTATGGCCTGGGAGAGCACTAGTGGATGGCCCAGGTCCTTGTGCCCCTGAACCCACAAAGGAGATCTAAAAGAAGCTCCTGGCTTCAGACTGGCCCAGCTCCAGCCATTGCGGCCATTTGAGTGAACCAGTGGATGGAAGACCTCTTCCTCTCTTTTTCTCTCACCTCTGTCTCTGCCTCTCTGTAACTCTCCCTTTCAAATAAATAAATAAATCTTAAAAAAAAAAAATCCGGGCCGGCGCCGTGGCTCAATAGGCTAATCCTCCACCTTGCGGCGCCGGCACACCGGGTTCTAGTCCCGGTTGGGGCGCCGGATTCTGTCCCGGTTGCCCCTCTTCCAGGCCAGCTCTCTGCTATGGCCAGGGAGTGCAGTGGAGGATGGCCCAGGTGCTTGGGCCCTGCACCCCATGGGAGACCAGGAAAAGCACCTGGCTCCTGGCTCCTGACAAGAGCAGCGCGCTGCGCCGGCTGCAGCGGCGGCCATTGGAGGGTGAACCAACGGCAAAGGAAGACCTTTCTCTCTCTGTCTCTCTCTCTCACTGTCCACTCTGCCTGTCGCGCCAAGGAAAAAAAAATTAAAAAAAAAAAGCTCGATTTACGAGCCAGCTCAAGCTCCAGCTGTTCCACTTCTGATCCAGCTCCCTGGTAAAGTGCCTGGGAAAGCAGTGGAAGAGGGGCCAAGTTCTTGGGAGCTTGTACCCATGAGGGAGACCTGGATGAAGCTCCTGACTCCTGGCTTTAACCCATTCCATCCTGGCTATTGTGGCCATTTGGGAAGTGAACCAGTGGATGGAAGTTCTCTCTCTGTTTTTCTTCTCTCTGTAATTCTGCCTTTCAAATAAATAATATTTTATAAAAAATATTTTATTTATTTATTTGAGAGGTAGAGTTACAGACAGCGAGAGGGAGAGACAGAGAAAGGTCTTCCTTCCGTTATTTCACTCCCTAAATGGTCGCAATGGCTGGAGTTGTGCCGATCTGCAGCCAGGAGCCAGGTGCCTCTTCCAGGTCTACCATGTGGATACAGGGGCCCAAGGACTTGGGCCATCTTCCACTGCTTTCCCAGGCCATAGCAGAGAGCTGGACTGGAAGAGGAGCAGCAGGGACTAGAACCGGCGCCCATATGGGATGCTCATGTCAGATGGCACCTTTTCCCTTTATTCCATAACACTGACCCAAAATTTTTTCTTTAAATGTATGAAGGTGAAGTTTTGGTTGTCATTTTTTATTTTATTTTTAAACATTTATTTATTTGAACAGTGAAGTTAGAAAGAGAGAGGGATCTTTCATCCATTGGTCACTCCCCAAATGGCCGCAACAGCCAGAGTATACTCGGGCCAATCCGAAACCAGCAGCCAGGAGCTTCTTCCAAGTCTCGCATGTGGGCCCAGGGGCCCAAGTACTTGGGCCATCTTCTGCTGTTTCCCAGGCCCATTAGCAGGAAGGTGTATTGGAAGTGGAGCAGCCGGGACTTGACTTGATGCCCATGTGGGATGTTCTATAAGAGGAGGCTTAACTTTCTATGCCATAGTGCCAACCCAACGGCCGTTTTCCGGTGCCTTCCCAGGTGTATTAGCAGAGAGTTGGAATGGAAGTGGAGCAGCTGGAACTCGAACAAGTGCCCATATAGAATGCTGGCATTGCAGGTGGCAACTTTACTGGGTACACACAATGCTGATGTAGTGTTTTGTTTTTTTTAAATATTTATTTATTTATCTGAAGGGCAGAGAGACTTGAAAGAGGGAAAGACAGAGAGAGAGAAGAAAGAGAATCTTTCATTTGCTAGTTCGCTCCCCAACTGCCTGCAACACCCAACTGCCAAAGCTAGTAGCCAGGAACTCCATCTTGGTCTCCTACACAGCTGGCAGGGGCCAAAGGACTTGGACCATCTTTCTCTGCCTTCCCAGATGCCATTAGCAGGAAGCTGGGTCAGAAACGGAGAAGACAGGACTCAAACTGGCACTCTGATACAGGAGACTATTGTCACAAGCAGTGGCTTGCCCTGCTGTGATACAAAAGTGGCCCACTGGTTTAAGTTTTGTTAAAGAAAATGCTACTGTATTTGGTGCTTTTGACTCAGGGACACTCAATTCTGTCTGTCCTGTAATACAGGACAAACTACAAAGAATTCACATTACTTTTCTGTTTTGGTAATCTTGCTTTGCTATTTTTGTGCTTATTTTATTGGGATAAGGTTTTGGAAGATTTTTCAAGGGAACTGAAAAGACGAAGCAAGGGCAGGTATGTGGCCTCGTGGCTGAGATGCTGTGTGGCACGCTCACATCTCCTGCCTGCATTCCAGCCCCACTCCTCTTCTGATCCAGCTTCCTGCTAATGTGTACTCTGGAGGAAAGCAGGTCATTACAAGTACCTGGGTCCCTGTCACTCCCGTGGGAGACCCAGACTGAGTTCCAGACTCCTGGCTTCAGCCTGGCCAAGCTCTGGCTGCTGTCTTTGAGGAGTGAACCAGTGAAAAGGAGCACTCTGTCTCTGACTTTCAAATAAATAAAATAAATGGATAAAAGACTAAGTCACTTTCTTTTCTTTTTCAGAAATAATGACTTGAACAAAAATAACTTACAATTCTCCAAAGGTAAAATGATATAACAAGCGCTACTAATAAAACTTGTTAAAATTCTTATCTGCAGGATACTTTAGATGCTCTAACTGGAGCTGGCATTTTTGTCTACTTTTATGGAAAACTGTATACTCAAATCATTACAGTAGGTACAATTTTCTGTGTTATTTTGCAAGCAAACTAGTTAAAGCCATCTTGAGGGGCCAGCACTGTGGTGCAACAGGTTAAGCTGCTGCCTGTGACACCAACATTCCATATCAGCACTGGTTCAAGCCCTGGCTGCTCCACTTCTGATCCATCTGAACATCAGCTCCCTGTTAATGCTCCTGGGAAAATAGCAGAAGATGGCCCATGCAGTTGGGGCCCTGCCACCCACATGGGAGACACAGATGAATCTCTTGGCTCCTGGCTTCTGCCTGGCCCAGCCTTGACTGTTGAGGCCGTATGGGGAGAACCAACAGATGGAAGATCTCTAACTTTGCCTTTCAAATAAATAAATCCCTTAGGGCCAGCGCTGTGGTGCAGTAGGTTAATTCTCCACCTGCCCCAGCATCCCGTATGGGCGCCAGTTTTAGTCCCAGCTGTTCCTCTTCCAGTCCAACTCTCTGCTATGGCCTGGGAAAGCAGCAGAAGATGGCCCAAGTCCTTGGGCCCCTAAACCCTCGTGGGAGACACAAAAGAAGCTCCCGGCTCCTGGTTTTCGATCAGCACAGCTCCGGCCATTGCAGCTATTTGGGGAGTGAACCAGTGGAAGGAAGACCATTCTCTGTCTCTCCCTCTGTAACTCTACCTCTCAAATAAATAAATAAAATTTTAATAAATAAATCCCAAAAAACAAAACACATCTCAAAGCAGACATCTGGTGTCAAACAAGCTAGCTCCATGCCATTTTCTGATATCTAGGTGAAAGCAGGCACCTATTAAGTCCCAATATCTTATGAGATAATAATGTAAAAATGAAAAGAGAAAAAAGGTGGAGATGGGAAGGAGGGACAATAGGGTTGGAAGTATCATCATGCTGTTAAATCTGCATATATGAAATACATGAAATTCGTTCCCCTTACTTTTTTTTTTTTTTTTTTTTTTTTTTGGACAGGCAGATGGACAGTGAGAGACAGACAGAGAGAAAGGTCTTCCTTTTTGCCGTTGGTTCACCCTCCAATGGCCGCCTCGGCTGGCGCGCTGCGGCCAGCGCACCGCGCTGATCCGAAGGCAGGAAGCAAGGTGGTTTCTCTTGTCTCCCATGGGGTGCAAGGGCCCAAGCACTTGGGCATTCCTTCCACTTGCACTCCATGGCCACAAGCAGAAGAGCTGGCCTGAAGAAGGGCAACGGGACAAGAATCTGTGTCGACGACTAAGATGGGTGCTGGGCGCTAGGGAGGATAGCCTATTGAGCCGAGGCGCCGGCCCCTACTGAGTCTTAAAATAGAAAAAATTGACCCTCTTCCTCTTACTTTGAAATCCATTCTTCTTTTCTTTTTTCTTTTTTTTTTTTTTAATTTTTTTTGACAGGCAGAGTTAGACAATGAGAGAGAGAGAGACAGAGAGAAAAGTCTTCCTTTTTCCGTTGGTTCAACCCCCCAAGTGGCCACCACGGCCAGTGCATTGCGGCTGGCGCGCTGCACTGATCTGAAGCCAGGAGCCAGGTACTTCTCCTGGTCTCCCATGGGGTACAGGGCCCAAGCACTTGGGCCATCCTCCACTGCACTCCCTGGCCACAGCAGAGAGCTGGCCTGGAAGAGGGGTAACCGGGACAGAACCAGCGCCCTGACCGGGACTAGAACCCGGTGTGCCGGCGCCGCAGCCTTTTTTTTTTTTTTTTTTAGATGCAACTCACCTTCCTTCACTATCTTTACAGTAGGGACAGGTGCATGCTTCCCGGCGTGTCCTGCGACCAGCCTGGGGTTGCGGATCTGGGCTGTTCTCTCCTTCCTCTCCACCTGCTGTATCATCATGTATTCCATCACCACCAGCACCATGGAGGCCAAGCTGAGCTCCATGATCACCTGAAATTAAAAAGAACAAAGTGGGAAAGTGTGAACATCACCACAGCACCAAACACTCCAGGGACACCATACATTTATACAGTATCAAGTCTTCAAAGTTTTAAAGCCACATCCACTGACTGTACTCAAACCTGAAATTTTAAGAATGCACACAGCCAAAAAGTATATGAAAATGTGATCAGTCACTCATAATTTACTTGAAAGAAAGAGAGAGGGTGAGACAGACAAAGAGGCAAAGATCTTCTACCCGCTGGTTCACTCCCCAAATGGCCGCAATGGCCAGGGCTGGGCCAGGCAAAAGCCAGGAGCCAGGAGCTTCTTCCAGGTCTCCCATGTGAGTGCAGGACCCAAACACTTGGGCCGTCCTCTGCTACTTTCTCAGGCACATTACTAGGGAGCTAGATTGCAAGTGGAGCAGCCAGAACTCAAACTGGCACCCATATGGGATGCAGGTGTTACATGCTACAGCCTAACTGACTGTGCCACAATCCTGGTCCCCAACCACTCATAAATCTTAAAAAGGATTTTTACTTAAAATTAATTTTTTGGGGCCAGTGCTGTGGCGTAGCGGTTAAAGCCACCACCAGTAGTGCCGGCATCCCATATGGGCACTGGTTTGACTCCTGGCTGCTTCACTTTTTTTTTTTATCTGTATTTTTTTTTTAATGTATTTATTTATTTGAAAGAGTTACACACAGAGAGGAGAGGCAGAGAGAGAGAGGTCTTCCATCAACTGGTTCACTCCCCAATTGGCCACAACAGCTGGAGCTACACCGATCCAAAAACAGGAGCCGGGAGCTTCTTCCACATCTCCCACATGGGTGTAGGGGTCCAAGGACTTGGGCCATCTTCTATTGCTTTCCCAGGTCACAGCGAAGAGCTGGATCAGAAGTGGAGCATCTGGGACTCGAACTGGTACCCATATGGGATGCCAGCACGGCAGGTGGCAGCTTTATCTGCTATGCCACAGCACCAGCCCCTGCTTTATTGCTGAACCAGCTCTCTGCTATGGCCTGGGAAAACAGTAGAGAATGGCCCAAGTCCTTGGGGCCCTGCACCTGCGTGGGAAATCCGGAAGAAGCTGCTGGCTTCTGGCTTTGGATCAGCATGGCTGCAGGCATTGCGGTCATCTAGGGAGTGAACCAGATGGAAGAATGAAAGAAAAGAAAAGAAAAGAAAAGAAAAGAAAAGAAAAGAAAAGAAAAGAAAAGAAAAGAAAGAAAAGAAAGGAAAGGAAAGGAAAGGAAAGGAAAGGAAAGGAAAGGAAAGGAAAGGAAAGGAAAGGAAAGGAAAGGAAAGGAAAGGAAAGGAAAGGAAAGGAAAGGAAAGGAAAGGAAAGGAAAGGAAAGGAAAGGAAAGGAGAAAGAAGAAAGAAAGAAAGAAAGAAAGAAAGAAAGAAAGAAAGAAAGAAAGAAAGAAAGAAAGAAAGAAAGAAAGAAAGAAAGAAAGGGAGAGAGAAAAATTTTTAGGGCTAATATTGTGAAGCACCAAGGTAAGCCACTGCCCACAACAACGGCATCCCATGTGGGCACCAGTTTCATTGGTTGGTTCACTCCTCAATTGGCTGCAATGGCTGGGGTTGGGCAAAGTTGAAGCCAGGAACCTGGAACTCCAACTGGGTCTCCCAGGTGGGAGGCAGGGACCCAGGCACTTGGGCCATCTTCTGCTGCTTTCGCAGGCACATTAGCTGGGAACAGAATACAAAGCAGAGCAGCTCGGACTTGAACTGGTGATGAGATGTGGGATGCTGGTGTCTCAAGAGGTGGCTTAACCAATTGTGCCACAATGCTGGCCCCAATATTGTTAGGAATTTAAACGCACAATTAATTTGAATCAATAATGTCCTATGGATATACTCACCAGTATACAAGGATATGTGACAATAAAGTTTTGTATAGTCTTGTAAACACAAAAAACTGAAAATAATCTAAACACATACCATTAAAGAACCAGCTAAGTAAATTATGATAAACTTATGTAACAGATTGTACAGCCATTAAAAAAGAAAGCTGTCCAACATCTTTGAATCACTCCCTAAGAACCCTGAGCTAAAATGCCATAAAAATGAATACAAGATTTTTTTTTGACAGGCAGAGTGGACAGTGAGAGAGAGAGAGACAGAAAGGTCTTCCTTTTTGCCGTTGGTTCACCCTCCAATGGCCGCCTCGGCTGGCGCGCTGCGGCTGGCGCACCGCGCTGATCCGAAGGCAGGAGCTAGGTGCTTCTCCTGATCTCCCATGGGGTGCAGGGCCCAAGTACTCGGGCCATCCTCCACTGCACTCCCTGGCCACAGCAGAGAGCTGGCCTGGAAGAGGGGCAACCGGGACAGAATCCGGCGCCCCGACCGGGACTAGAACCTGGTGTGCTGGCACCGCAAGGCGGAGGATTAGCCTAGTGAGCCGCGGCGCTGGCCTATGACTATAAGATTTTAAAGACTTTCCATACAAATTTTGAAAGCCTGAAGGATAAAAGGTACAAAGCAGGAATTTCTCAAAATAAGCAAAGAATTGTTCTGAATATTCAAGAGAGGATAGTACATGTGTATTACAAATTTTGACACAATAAAGAAAAGAAGAAAGCTTTGAGATCAAAGTTAATTTTTATACAGCTAGCTATGCATCTCAGTAAAGTTTTGATCTGGCATGGCATGCTTTCCAAATGCTGGATAAAAGAAGAAGATATCAAGTACATACTGTATTCCATGTTGGAGAACGTCACTGTTTGCTTGTTTATCTGAGAAATCGAGTCCTCCCATCTACTGGTTCACTACCCAAATGCCCACATTGGCCAGGGCCTGGACCAGGCTAGCTAGGAACCAGGAAACTCAATCCAGGTCTCCCATGTGGGTGGCAGGGATCCAAGGATTTGAGCCATCATCCCAGGGTATGCATCAGCAGGAAATTGGAATTAGAAGTGGAACCAGGACAGAGTCAGGCACTTCAATATGTGACGTTGGTGTCTTAAGTACTAGGCCAAACACCCCAGCCCCCACTTGCTTTCAAAGATAAAAATTTGTATAACTCACTATAATTTCATCCTGGTTAAGTTAAAATAAGTAAATGCTATAAAGTTCTAGGCTGGTGTTTCTCTAAACTTTTTAAACCTAGCAACCCATGGGACTGGCGCTGTGGTATAGAAGGTTAAGCCTCTGCCTGCAGTGCTGGCACCCAATGTGGGCACTGGTTTGAGTCCTGGCTGCTCCACTTCTGGTCCAGCTCCCTGCTAATAAGTCTGGAAAGCAGCAGAAGATACCCTAGGCGCTTGGGCCCAGACACCCATGTGGGAGACTTGGGCCAGGTCAGAGCCAGGAGCCAGGAGCTTCTTTTGGGTCTTCCATGAGACTGCAAGGGCCCAAGTAGTTGGGCCATCTCCCACTGCTTTCCCAGGCACATTAGCAGAGAGCTGGAGCAGCTCAGACTCGAACTGGTGCCCACATGGGATGCTGGCGCCACAAGTGGCAGTCTTACCCACTATGCTATAGCACTGGCTCCCATGTTGAATGATTTTATAAGTCATTAAAACGTCACATCAGGCATTTTCAAACATTGCTCTAGGCCCATGAAAAAAGTAATATTTTATAAAGAAATAGATAACATTTATCTTAAATTTTCAAAGCAGTTACTATCAGTAAGTATTCATCTCCGAAACCACTGTGGAAATAAATCAATAACTCTATCCATGTTTAAGATTTCTATAAACGGAGAGTACTGGATTAGCCTGCTTTGTTTCATCTACTTTATAAAGAAGGAAACTAATTGGGTAGTCAGACTTAACTTCTAGAAATCTAAGCTCTTGATTTGACTTTTGTACCTGATCCTTATACTTTTCAGCTCATCAACATAATGTGGAGTTACTACACCTGCTAAAACTTTGTATTTTTCCTTTTCATGTTATCACTTCTAAGCAAAAGACTATGGCGTTAAAATAACTTTGACTAGAATGTTTTGAGATTTTCATGATATCTGAGGAATTAAAACTGGAAAGACACAGTGCAGTTAATAACAGGTTTTAGAGTAAGACAGACTTAGATATGTATTCCTTCACCACCATTTGATAAGCTTTCCGATAGTAAGCACAAAACTTCTAGTTACCAGTTTCTCCATCAGATACTGTGAAAACGAATCAAACAATACATGCAAGGTACCTTGTCACATAGCAGGCATTCAACACATTCATCAGGAAAATATTTTGAGTGACAAAATCATACCAAGAAATCATGGAATGAAATATACACACACATACACACCCCAATATTTTAATTGATTTAACATCTGTAATCTAAAATCTAATCTTAGAATCTATACTTGTCATTTAATGGACACGCCCCCTAGTGGGATGGGGAATTTAATGCTTTGAAATAAACCCACAAAGCTTAGCAAGCTAATTAGTACTGCTAGTTACCTGCCAAAATTTATCTTCATAAGTAAAACTTGTGATACTAGAGCTAGCTGTTTACAACAGGTTTTTCAAACCAAGACAAAAAACTTCAGGGTATATAAATAAGCACACAGGGCGTTGTAACATTGTAGATGCAGCTCTGCCTGTGGCATAGGCATCCCATACAGATACCAGTTTGAGTCCTGGCTGCTTCTCTTCCAATCCAGCTCCCTGTCAATGGCCTGGTAAAGTAATGGAGGATGGCCCAAGCGCTTGGGCCCATGTGCCCACATAGGAGACCCAGAAGAAGCTCCTGCCTCTTCGCTTTGGCCTGGCCCAGCTATGGCCATTATGGCCATTTGGGGAGTGAACCAGCGGGTAGACAACCTCTCTTTCTGTCTCTCACTCTCTGAAACTTTGCCTCTCAGATAAATAAATCTTAAAAAAAAAAAAAAAAACCTAAATAAATAAGCACACCATCTTCTCTGCTCTATTTTCTAAGCTAATCCAATCCCATTAATATTTGAGAAACAATTCTCTATTCTCCAATGTTCTCACTTATTTTAATCAACTGTAAAGAGACAGTTAATTCTCCATTTTAATGAAACATGGAAATAGTATTC